ATATATATTTTACCCTGAGAGCTATTTACTCTGGTATAATTTCTTACGTTAATAAATACGAACTAATTATTATAATATTTACCTATATAGTAATATCATTTATTTAAATACGAATTAATTAATTTTAATATATATWGTCATAATATTTAATAATTCACAGAACTCCTTCATTCCTCAATCAGCTTAACAGCCTTTAACCGCCACCTGCCGCCAGACTTCCACAGCCTTAATGTGCTCAATTCAATCTAGCCAATTATGAGGAACAAATGCCTCAAATCCCATAAATTGTCGCTGTCGAGCAAAAACCAGAGCAGTTCAATCGACAATCGAAATCAAATACAATTCATACAATTCGGCCCCAAACGCTCTACGTAAATATGGCTAATTAATTAATATATCGACAACTGTTGAAAAAGTTGCTGTTGTTGTTGTTGTTGTTGTTGTCCAGGATTGAAATCATACGGGCCCTAGACTCCACTCAACTCAAATTAATTGAAAATGTCAAAAGTCAGCGCAATTATCGTAAATTATAAACACGCGTCCGGGGCTTATGTGGGGGGAGTTTGCGTCCGATTGCGAAGCCAAATCAAATCCAAATATTATTATTATTATTATTTTTATTACGTGAGTTGGCAAAAATAAAAGCAGCATTGCAACCCCTAACACTGAGGGTGGGTAATTTGTCAACGCATAATGAAATGTCAACAGAAAAATGCAAATACGAAAAAGAAAAAAAAAAACACCTTTATATATATACTTATCTATATACGATATGTATATATATAAATATATGTATATATGTGTGTATATTCGATGGAGTTAATTGGAAAGCTTTGCTTGGCTAGCCGGGGCCACATGACTCATGCAGAACAATCAGTGCAAATTTTATATGCAATTGAGGACAGACAGACGGACAGACCGAAAGAGTGGCAGGACCCTCGTCTGCTGTAACAAGCCATACAAAATGTTCAAAGCTCTTTTGCCGCAGCATCCTTGCCTGACTATGCAAAAATTTGTCGTCCAAATCCCATATAAAATTATTATGCTGCCATGGAGAAAGGGAGGGAAAGAGGGAGGTAGGGAGGTGGGTGGGTGGTTAGGTTTGGTGTGGGAGCTGCGAAAACTCGCTTATGACAATGCTTAAAGGCATTTTTTGGCCAGCATCAGCTAAAAAACCAGACAGCTATACCCCGACGGCGACAAGAGTCCGCCCGGACCATGTGCATATAAAGTCCAAATAAACTCAAGTTGTTGACAAAAGGGTTAAAGGCCATAATTGTGGCCAGAGTTCCGGCCCCAGCTGGGGGCAGTGCCCAATGTGTCCCGCCATCCCACCCTGCCCCCTGCCCCAACCATTAGACAACAGCATTTTTATTGAAAGTGTAAACATGACAGTCATCAAAATTATAAAGCCCAGCATTTGGTTGCTTGACAAAGTGGGACTGCAGCTGTTTCTCCTCCTGCGGGCAGCATCTTGCTCTCGGCTCCTGCTCGGTCTGCGCATATTTGTGTGGCACTTGAGTTAAATACAATGTGCCAAATGGGTTTCAAGTAGACGAAAGGCACTGCCTAGACTGCATTAATGCTAAGTGCGACACGGGCAATAAAAACTTTGTGACTTTGTGTGTGGAAACTGGGCAAGTCATAAAACACTATAAATAATTATGATGCGGACAAATATGTGTATAAGCACTTGATGTCAAAAAGACGAAACTGCAAAGCATTCGCCATAAAATTCTACTCCGGTTGAATTTCTGAATTCCGGAATTTTCAACAGCAAACCTCTTTGATTTGGCATTCGCAAATGAAATTGGAATTTCTTCTGTCTATCGCGTTACTAATTTGCTTAATTAAGTGCTCCGCCCACATTATCAATTTAGATAAAATCATCAAAAGCAAAAGGGGCTTTAGCTGAAATTGAGAGGGTGAGAGTCCCATTCAATTATCTATTCAACTCAGTCCCGGCATTACGATTTCCATTAGTCCGATAACAATAACTCAATCAGAGCGAAAAAATGGAGAAAGAGACTCTCCTCTTATATCTCGTCTATGACAAACTATAGATGACTCACCAAAAATAAGAGATACAAACCGCAGATGGCGAATCTTTTGTAAGGGCATCAGCAATCATTGTGTCCTAAGTAGATTGTGCGAGTCAAAAGCGTCGCTAAACAAACCCCCAAAGTCAAGCAAAATTCAAGACAGCCATATTTATTTTATAAAGCTAACAAATTTGCGCAAATTTTTTGTTTTGCACACTCAAATACAAAGAGGCCGAGGCATGCGTGCATATGAATGCGATCCCTAAGCCCGAGGACGAGCAGGAGCCGGAGGGCACAAAAGGCATCGCTCTGAGTGTTGTGTAGCTAACAAGCGGCCTACCCCGTTTCTGTTCTTTTAAGTGATTTCAACCCGGAAATGCCCATAAATCGATTTGGGGGTGGTCCTGTTCCATGCCCCTCCTCCGGCCACAGTCAGCACTCCTGCCATAACAGAGCCTAAGTCGAGGACATCTTGGCCGCACATGAGGGGCGTTCGCTTTATGGCCTAAATGAATGAATTGAAATGGGCGGCAAGTGTATCGACTTATGTATTGAGTTGAGCACAAGAATGTGATGCCACACTTGTCTCGGCAGTTATGCTGCCCTGCTCTGCCTCTCTCTCTCTCTCTCTCTTTCTCTCACTCTGACCCTGCACAATGCAAATAAAAGTTCATTACAAGCCAACGGCCAAGGCGCTTAAAACTTTTCCTAAATGTATCGAGGCTCGATCCCGATTCCCTTTTGAGCAGTGTTTACTGTACTGTATATATACTATATATATATAACTTACTCTTGCCCCGTTTTATGGTCAATGGCCCCGCTCTGTGACTCTGCTCGACTCTGTTGTGGGTGGCTGTCCGTCGTCAGTTCGTCGGGTCGTGTGTGCGGCACATGCGGCACATGCGGCAAACGGAAACGCCACATCCGTAGAGTCCGCACAGTCCGCACACAGTTCGACGGCGTGCCAAAGCAAAAGTCAA